ACACGGTCTGGCGGAGCAATTCTCATAGCGGATAGCTTCATCTCCCATAGGAATTCGCACATTCAATGGTAGTTTCCATTCGGGCATCCTCTGCAAAGTTCATTTCATGAACACCTTGCTCTCATGCACAGTAGAATATCGGAACAGATTTGATATAAAGTCCTCGAACGGGGGTAGGGAAATCCGTATGCGCCCCTGGCTTCAATTACAGTGTACAAAACATGATATAGTGTTCGAAAGTTCTTGGTATATAAAAGTGAGTATTTCAGGAATTATTTTAAACTCACCAAGTTGTTGTTTCGCTGAAATTTCCAGTCGTTGAACACTTGAACCATGTTGACTGCCCATGAACTGATGAAGTGTTACGGCGTGTGGTTTTACTTTCTTGATTTTTTAAGCGCACTTATTTCACTGGCCGACACATGTTTTCCGAATCTGTATAACGCCTCCTCGCGTGCAATAACTCAACGATATTTTGTATGCATCATCTCGTGTCATCATGTAACTATTACATCAATCAATCAATCGAATATTTTATCTTTGCCCCCGGATCGAAATACCGGTATCCCAAGAGTACGTGTATTGTTTTTGTCCTGTTTGTCTGTTTTTCCGTTTGTCTATTGTCAAATTTAACCTAGCCAATAACTATTAAGTGCATGGGGGCATAGTTTTCATATGTCACAGGTGTATTCCTTTGGGAATAACCATATTTGACCACTTGACCTTCTCCTTGGAGTTTGACCTACTTTTACAAAAAATACAACACTTAACTCTGGCCATAACTTTTGAACTGTTGGAGCTAGTGCTTCATACTTCACATGTGTTTTCATTGTGACAAGATCTTTCAGCTGATTAAATATTTTACTTTTTGACCATGGCCATTACTTTTGAACAGTTAAATCTAGGGCTTTCACATTTAACAAGTGCATATCTTGTACCAAGACCTTCATTTTGGGTACCAACAGTTTTGACCTTGACCTTTGTAGTTTGACATGCATTTGAGAGAATTCAACCCTCGTCATAAGCTGCCATACGGTGGCATTAGTGTTTCACAAACACGTCTTGTTTTTACCCTCTAAGTTCGTCTGTCCCGATAACATTTAATATTGCTTATAACTTTTGATAAGATGGATCTATGATTTACTAATTTCGCATGTTAATCCCTTGGTCTTAACTTTGATTGACTTGTGCTTAGGTTTTTACACATTGGTATATTCACTGAGACAGCTGAAGGCTTTTCAACCCATTTGGGTAATCTCTTGACCTTGAAATTCGAAGGGCATTTAAGAAACCTTTTACCTTCGCCATAAGCTTCTATCCGAGTGCATCAGTGTGTCTCAAACACATCCTTTTTACATGCACTGTACAAAAATACACGAATGGATTTCCAATAAAAAAAATAATTTCAGGAGGCTTGAATTACCCTACTCTTGCCAAAACTATTTTTTAAATAAATTTGATGAAAAAAATGAATTAATATTTTTACTTAAAGTAAATGTTTCAGAATTTTGGTAGGGAAAGAGAAGGTTATAAATATATGAAAAAATGGCCGACCTTATAGTCTACGATCTTAGAAAATGTGAACACAAACAGTTCTGGTACTCTATATTTCAGTCAAAGATGGTTTTCATCAATAGGTTCCAATGCCTCGTATCTCATCACAGATCAACTGTATATTATTCTTTACTACCACTGAAATCGAATAAATAGTTATATTTCCGGCGTCATTATATAAATTTTCATTAGGTTTTCTTTTACGTCGACACAGACAGCTATTCAACCTTATATTAAAGATTGGTGAATCAGCATCCTCTCACTCTAAGGACACTTGTCCTACAACATGCACAAGGGTTTTCACGTTTATATTGGTAATTAGATGACTCCAGTTTAATGAAAAAATCATTTTGGTCGAAAACTTTTTTTTTTTTTATTTTTGCAAAAATGAAAAAGCTACCAAAAGGGGAAAAATTAACATCATCTATTTAAAAAAAACTTGCTTCAGCCCCTGAAATATAACTGCGTAAAAGTCTTTTGTTAAGTACATTGAGACAGACTTTATATTATAATAAATCATTTATAAATAATTTTACATGGATTTTTTTTTTCTTTTCGCGCAAGACTAATTTTCAGCTAAAAAGATTGTAAGTTTATTGTCTAAAAGGGAAGGTAATTGATGAAGACTACGTGATTTTACAGCTTTGCACACATTCTTTCTGTCCAGTGGGGGTAAAAAACGATAAAACTCAGAATCTTGTTCTCTTTCTTGATTGCTTACTACTCCATAGCACCTGATCTAATTCCTGCTATTTTAGAGTTACTTGATTGTGCCGCTCTCAATTTGTGTTTTTTAACTAAACTATGATACGTATGATGTACATGCATGTTATTTATCTTTTGTTTTCTTTTAATATACTACTTAAAAAATGTTTTTAATGATAAGGTCATTTTGGATGATTTTTTTATTTAAAGAATTTTATAGTAAAGAGCGAAATCGAATGATACATGTAGTAGGTTTTCCAGGAACCAAAATCACCCTAGAGTTAATAAATTCATAGAAAAAATAAATGAAACTATGACCAACACCTTGGAGATGCAAAGATATGAAATACGAAAATGTTTTAATATATTATCATTTTTCTGATCCAAATAATCATACATAGAATCATTAACTCCATATGCATGACATATACATGATATACATGACACAGGTCAAAGATAAATCAGTTATTGTATTTGACTAAAATAAAAAGTTTTTTTTTCAACAACTACAACAACATAAAACTCCCTCTAATGATGTTCAATCAAAAGTTCAAAGTATCTTCAAGGACTATAGCAAACGGGACAGAGAAAAGAAGGAAAAAAACCTTGTGGGAAGATAAATCAATGTATCGGAAGTAAGTTGTCAATATTTGTTTATTTCCATCATACATCCCACGTCAACAGTGAACAAAGAAAATAATCCAAACAATGAATTCTAATTTGTGGCGGCACACACAAATATAAAATGTTAATGGTTATCATGTGGGAATATCTCTAAGATTTCTATCACTCGCTTATAAATTGACATCTCTCCAAAAATGATTAAAAAAATAAAATTTTCCTTGACCTTTAAAAGTCAGGACTGACATGTGTTGTAACAAGAAAACGAATATACTAATCAAGCTTTCTCCGATGTCCAAACATACCATGTCCTTTGGTCAGAAAGCCAATGTCAAGATTTGACAGATTGGAGGCATATATCATTTAATTTATTTGCTTTGCGTATGATAGAACTCCAAATACAAGACAGGCTAATTGATAAATAGTATAATAAGTCAAAGGCCTTGAAGAACTTGACCTTCTCTATTCTGTACATGTACAAACAATAAATAGGGGATATTTAATATTTTAGATCTGGATATGGAATTTATTTCAAGACTTGGAATGTTTTTTATCTTCAGGATTGCAAAGCAATAAATTTTGAGCAAAATATGATTTTGCTTTTTCTGTCTCTTTCTTTGTTTACTTTGGAGCTATAACTTTTAAATTTCATGTGTGTATTTGATATGTCAAGACTTGTGATAAGCCTTTTTTGGTTCCAAATTATTTTACCTCTTCGCCTTAACAATGACATGTGTTCCATATTTGCAGAAACGTTAGCTTGACCATGGTTGCATGCAGTTTGGAACTCATCTATGACTACTACTGGATCTACTAGTGTGTGACTTTCACACAATGATATACTCCGATATGTTTATTCCTTGTGAACAGACCATTTCTTTTGATCTTTTGACCTTCATATGTACCTTTGAGTTTGATCTACTTCTTAAAAATTTAACCTTAAAACTTGACTGTAACTTCTGAACAGTTGGTAATAGGAACTTTATATTTCATATGTGTAATTGTTATTACTTTTGGATGGTTTGTGCATTGGCGGCTTTCATATGCCACAGGTATATTCATTGAGACAAGTCAATTATTTTGGTCACTTGACTTTAAGAATTTGCGATGCTTTTGAAAAAAACATCGCCATAAGCATTACCATAACTTTTTCAGAAACAAATTTTATTGCCCCTCGCTTTCATGAAAGCATGTATTACCTGTTATAAGATATTTTTGAGCATGCTATAATGTTTTACTTCTTGATCTTGGGCTTCAAGTTTGACCTAATAATAAAATGTTTTATATTTGGGGATAAATAGTTATGCATAACATATGACATATTTGACACAACAAAGTATGCCATTAAAGATGGCATCCCATCCACCAAGAAGACAGCGAAAGTAGAGGACAACAATTCGCTTATTTCCCTCTTTTTTCTTGACATGTGTAACAGAATTCAATGTCAAACTGGTAAGCAAACAACAATTGAGCTTAGCACATTTAAGATATAAAACACTGTATGTAATTTGGCGAAACTTGAGCATTCTGTTCGGATGGTACATATGTATATTTACTTCTCTATATATCACAGCATTCAATATAAAAAAAATTGTGTGTGAATGAACATCACTTTGGTATTCTTTCACTATTTGGGGAAAAAAATCATTTTCATAACAGAGTTCTTATAATATTAAAAATTAAGTAAATTACGGTATTTCACTCCTGAAGATGCAATAATAAATGTCTTTGATTTAAGTCTCTGATCCAAGTATCTATAGGTTAATGTCCGTATATTTAGAATTTTATCATCCTGATATGACGTACAGATGCAGTCTAATTAAGATTTTCATCTCCTTATATCCATACTTATACATCTAATCAGTGCTTATTATTAAGCACCAAAAATAACATTCAACCAAAAACAGATTTTTCCAATCGGACATGCAGACAGGGAAGAGACTATATACAAAACTAAAAGTAATATCAATGCAATCAAAGAAGGAGAGTTTTTCCTGATTTTTCATAATGCTAGGATTTTTAGACAATTACAGCATATCAAAACGCAAACAGAAATACATGTACAGAGGTAGACATTGACATACATGCAGTATACAGGGGGAGATAACTACAATGTTTACCTGTCTAGTAGTCCGTTCAGAATACTGAAATATAAGATGGAAACGTGAGTAACATTACAAAAAGCAGGACCAATGTGATTATCTAGCAGCAAAGAAGATAATAAAACGAAAAGTTTGTGTTCTTATCAAATAGCTAAAATTAATGATTTCAACACAAAGTTCATGGTGATACAATAGAGAATTTACATCAAGATGTTGGTATATTTGTCTATTGTAAATTATGACCTTCCAACAAGTATATTTGCAACCAACCAGTTAATTTATTCCAGACTACTGACTTAAACAGAAATATTGAAATGTTTTTCTTGTATTCAATATGCAATTCCAATTAAGGACTTTAGAGGAATTGTCAATAATCGTGGATATTTCAGGAAGAAGATCGTGTATTAATTCTTTTTACAAGATTTCTACCAGACTCAGACAATCTTTAATATTTCAGCACACATGTATTCATTTGATGCATCTGTTATCTAAGATGACATTTATTTAAAACTTAGATCTCCCGCAAACACATTTAAGTTGAATTAGAGACAATATCGATTCTAAAGTTACAGACAATTTGATTATTTATGAACATTAACTATACATAGAAACTATATGAATCCAGGTCTCTAACGTGATGTTTTATCAACACCATGAAGTCTGGATTCACCGCTAAACGCTCCAATCTCGGTACACTGTGACCTGGGAAACTCCAATGGGAATGATCCAAATTAGTACATGTGTACGTATCAGCAGAGAGATCGATAGAATGAAATAACAAACTAACAACAGTGAAAGGGAGAAAAGAGAAGAACGACAAAACAGTGTCGTACCGAGTTGTCTTTCTTAGGTTTAATTCTCATTTATCAACATTCTCCCAGTCTTTTACTCTCACTAGGTCAACATTGTTTACAACGCTATACATGAATATAAGAGTGCTTCTTCAATATGGCTTAAGCTTATTGATACATATAAACTGGAACTGATTTGTACACATTTAAGGAATATGCACTCTTGGTGCTTTATATTTTTGAAATTTGTAAAGTTTATATGTCATTCAGGACGTGGAATTACCAAAGAGAATGTATGTTTAACTATATAGAAGATAGTACCAACTACCGATATAAATTGTATGACAAACGAGACAACCTCAGCTTTTCCCTAACAAAAAAATACTATAGTTAACTATAGTTAGTTTTCACCATAGTAAATCAAAGTTCCAAAGTTTTCGCCATAGTAAATCAAAGTTCCAAAGTTATTACTATAGTAAATCAAAGTTCTAAAGTTTTCACCATAGTAAATCAAAGTTCCAAAGTTTATACCATAGTTATTTAAAGTTCCAAAGTTTTTTCCATAGTAAATCAAAGTTCCAAAGTTTTTACTATAGTAAATTAAAGTATTGAAGTTTGTGTATGTTTTTTTTTTATGAATTTTTAAAATTATTTATCTGTTTTAATGGTAATGATTTGGGTTTGTTTTTTTATCTTATAATAATTTTTTCTCCATAAATGATGATAAATATTGCTTTTTTATCGGTGCTAGTACATTTTTTTTTAAATTAAAATTCATTTCTTGTACTTTGTTCTTATAGCGGAGGGGCCGGGTTTTTCTAACGTTCATTTAAGCTTCAATAAATCTTATTCTTGACATTTCATACAATGTACAGAATGAGAGGCAAAACCATAAATCCACGGGTTTTATAGTACTTAATCAGTTCCAAAGTTTTCGTCATAGTTAATCAAAGTTCCAAAGTTTTCACCATAGTAAATCAAAGTTCCAAAGTTTTCACCATAGTAAATCAAAGTTCCAAAGTTTTTTAGTAAATCAAAGTTCCAAAGTTTTCACCATAGTAGATCAAAGTTCCAAAGTTTTCACCATAGTAAATCAAAGTTCCAAAGTTTTCACCATAGTAAATCAAAGTTCCAAAGTATTAACCATAGTAAATCAAAGTTCCAAAGTTTTCGCCATAGTAAATTAAAGTTTCAAAGTTATTACTATAGTAAATCAAAGTTCCAAAGTTTTCACCATAGTAAATCAAAGTTCCAAAGTTTTAACTTTGGTACTATAGTTAACTATAGTAAACTATAGTTAACTATAGTTTACTATAGTATTTTTTTGTTAGGGTTTCCATCATCAAATTTTCTTATCATTGTTTATGAAGCAATATTCCAATAGCACCTTCCAATGCTGATTATGTCTCCTCACTACAGTAACACGATAATCGCTAGGATGCTTTCAATAACGTAACGATCACTTTTAAACACGGGCAACTTATTGCAGACAAGTTTATGCCACAGGAATATAAAAACCTTGTTTAAAGTAAGCATTTCCTAATTTCTGTGGTTTTGGGGCCATTTTTGCTTGATGTGATTAGTCTGTGTATTTATACTAATTTTGACAAAGGAATTTTTCTTCCCCTTTTCAATACAAAGGGCTGATGAACAGTCATGGCTATGAAAAGTCAAAGAGTTCGTTCACTCTTTTTGGCACCCGGTTTCACCTCTGAAGTTTTCAGGCGTTTGTGCTAAATGCCTCTTTCACACATTGTGGATTTGAGTTGGTGATACATGTAAATATTTTTAGACATATTTCTTTTGGCTATCTCTACTTTTTCATTTCCTAAAAGTAACACTCCGAGTCTGTAAAAGATCAAGCGTGTCCAAGAGGATGGTGATAAACCGAACAGAAAAATTGCACTTATTCTAACCAATTCAAAACAGAAAATTTCATTTTATCTCATCTCGATATAAATTATGTGTATTAACAATCATCGTGTAGAAACCTTTACATACTTCCAAATCTTAGTTGTTCAGGAACATTTCTTTTTCTATGTATTAATGTATTAGACATTTCTTAAAAGAGGTAGAAGTACTGAAGCAAGAATATCAACAGTCTCATTTAAAGTCATCATTTCTTACGGTCTATGGTCGATACATTGAACTTGTCAGTAAATACAAATTTTCATGAAGTCCAATGCTGACTGATGTTTTTCATACTAGTTGTAAGGTTATTATATGCATTGTTACAACGCGAAATGTAATAACAACACGAAACGTAATAAACCTGGATTATTACATTTTGCGTTGTTACATTTTGCGTCGAAATCAACGCAGAATGTAATAACGCAAAATGTAACTACAAGGATTATTACATGCGTTATTACATTTTGTGACTGCAAAATGTAATAACACGATTTTGGGATTATTACATTTTGCGTTTTTACATTTTGCGTTGAAATTAAGCACTAGGCAGGAACGAAAAATGTAATAACAAACTTTTTTTCGTCAGCCAGATTGAGTACAATTTTTAAATAGTGTAGTGGCCGATGAAAAGAAAATAAAACAAAAGGGAAAAAATAGATTTATGCAATTTCTTACAATTAATAAATTTTATAGTATTTTGATTTAATTAGCTTCATGTATTTAAAATCGGATTAACAAATGTATTCAAATTATAGGTGTTGCAAATTAGAAACATGCATCTGTGGGCAGGGTTGTCGGGGGTATTGACCAGTTTGTTTTTGCTTCTTTATACATAAATGCAATGAATCTAAAAAAAATTCTGACAGGTGTACATCTATAGCGAGAAGGGGTTTATTGACAATAATGAAAACATACTGTTCCATGCAAATCTTCAGCATTGCAGACAAGCAAAAACAAAATTCTACATCTCTCTTTCTTTCCATCCTATAATAAAATGGATTGTATCTGCATGTCCACAGTAATACAATAATAAACATACGAAGTAAACACCCAACCCTATTCCTGACCCTCCTCGCTTGACACACACATACACTTATAATTTGTTAACCAATGTATACATGCCGGACATGCATATCAAGAGATTTTAATGAACCTATGGTCAATCTTAAGTAATTAAATATGTGTTATTGGTTAGAAATTTAATAAAACTATCAAAAACATGCCAATCAAGGTTAAATTAATTCTGTATAATTAAGTACAGTGTATTTAATATAACTAAAATAGTCGGAAAAACGATATATTTAGATGCATTAAAGTCCGTTATTTAGCCCTAACGTTGGTACCATTGTTTTATAGTTCTAAATATTTTTACAGCGTGTTTCCCATGTTGATTACATGTATATATTTGAATCAATTTTATTATCTTTTTTGTTAAATGCAATCAAAAAAAATTATTTTGTTTTATTACATATTGTTTCATTACATTTTGCGTTGTCTTCAGTGCAAAAATAAAATAACGCAAAATGTAACAACGAAAAAGCACGTTATTACAATTTGCGTCGAGATAAACGCAAAATGTAATAATCCAGGTTTATTACATATCGCGTTGTTATTACATTTCGCGTTGTAACAATGCATACTGAATGCCTGATGGATTTTTTTCCGTTATCCCGATAATGACAATGAGTATGCGGCGGTTGTGACTGTTCCACAGGGTATGTTCACTCCTATTTAAGACTGAATAATGGACTTTTGAGATTGAATAATCCTTATCTTCATATAAGTTTCAATATGAATATTATCCAAGGAAAATTTTAGAATCTGAGCAAAGAAAGTTTTTCATGTGGAAAAACGCTTCGTGGGCAAGACTGGTCTTAAACTTTGGATAGCATCAGGTCCTGTAGCCACAAAAGTTAGATGAACTCACTTTTGATCTTAAATTTATTTTCTACCATGAATTGCTTTGGTGTAACTGAGATTAATTGCTTTGGTAAAGCTGAGACTGAGATAAAGAGTTACCTCGTCTACGCTTTATTGCCCCGGAGCCAGGACACAAGATAGGACTGGCGTTTTGAAAAAAATGATATTTTACAGGAAAATTTTTTATATGTACATATACATATATGTAGTATTTCATTCTTTTCTGCTATCATGAGTACAAGTAAATAGCACTTCACTGACTTCTTTATGCTGATTTAATATGAATAAAATAACGTTGCTAAGGACATGGTATGCAAAGAGCCAGGTTTTGCCCTTGGTAATGGTATGGGGTGTGCTTTACAACGATGTAATAGTCGATATTTAAATCTGTTTGAATGATTATAAATAATATGTGAATAC